CCCCACCGCCGCCATGGATGCCATCAAGAAGAAGATGCAGATGCTGAAGCTGGACAAGGAGAACGCCTTGGACAGAGCCGAGCAAGCCGAAGCGGACAAGAAGGCAGCGGAGGAGAGAAGCAAGCAGGTCTGCACCGAGGGCCCGGGCGCGGCCAGCACCGGGGCGCAAGTCTTTCCAGACGACTCCTTTCTCTTTCTCGCTTTACTTTTTTTTTCCCCCAACGTACCTTACTGTATTCCCCCACCCCACCCCCTGCAGAACTGGTTGAACTTTTTGTAAGGTTTTCCTTCACCCTGGCAGCCCCTGGCTGGAGGTTCCTGGGGCCCGGCAGGAGGTCGTTCCCCCTGCCCCTAGCACCCCAGCTGGGGAGCGGGGCCCTGGGACAGCCACATGGCCTCTGTGCCTTTGTCATAGGGGTATGGCTGCGAGAGGGTGCCTTGAGCACCTGGTTAGCAATGGACAGACGTGCTGCGATTTGGCAAAGGACACTTAAAGCTGTGTTTGCCCCCTCCAGCACCACCCAGCAGACTTGTCCGATTGCAGATGCTCCCCCCGCTGCTAGATGTGTGTCCCATTTTCCTGGCCTTCTCCAACCCCCCTCCTTTACACCTGGGGCTTTATTCGTTTGGGGGAGGGGGGCACATTGGTAGCATGTTTCTGGGAGATCCTGAAGGAGGAGGGAGGAAGGGAGAGTGATTTAAAAATTAATTTCCCACTTTTCTAAGCCCAGGGAGAAACATATTTGTGCGTTGTATTTCCTCTTGTGCACCTAGTTAGAGGATGACATTGTGCAATTGGAAAAGCAATTGCATGTGACGGAGGATGCAAGGGACCAAGTGCTGGAAGAGCTACACAAGTCTGAGGATAGCCTCCTCTCCGCAGAGGAGAATGCTGCCAAGGTATCGTGCCCTTGCCGCAAGCAAAGAGAATCTAACTGTCTCTCCTTCTCTCTCTCTCTGTCCGTCTGTCCTTTTCTGTCTCTTCTGCACTCGCACTTCTCCCTTTGCACGATCACGTTGCCTGCTGCACCTTTTCCTGCCCACCCTCCCCTCTCCACCACTTTCCAACCCGTATCACAGCTGGAGGACGAGCTGGTGGCTCTACAAAAGAAGCTGAAGGGCACTGAGGATGAGCTGGACAAATACTCCGAGTCCCTTAAAGATGCACAGGAAAAGTTGGAACTGGCTGACAAAAAGGCCACAGATGTAAGTTACCCCCATCCCTTTCACCACCACCCCAGTACAGAAACCACGCACTCCCTGTGCACAGGACAGCCAGGACTCCTACCAAGCAGTGCTCCAAAGCTTTGCTGAGGGCAGGGCCCAGGCACCTCCTGGGCAGGGAGGTGGGAAACAGCACTGCCTCCTTGCATGAGGTTTGCACACTATCGGGCATTTGATTGGGTTTCTGCTCACTCGACACGTGCTTTTCGTGTGTATTTGCCGCTCTAGACGTGGAAGTAAAGAAAGGGTGGATTGTCCGTTCAGGTGATGGGGAAAACGGCTCAGGCTGGAACAACACTGTCTCGACAGTGAAGCAGAATCAGAGAGTTAATAGCAAGTAGATCCAGGAGAGCGAGATCCAGAAAAGCAAGGGCTGCTAGTTCTGTCTTCAAGAGAGCTGTTCCTAGGCATGCATGTGTTAGAACTGCTGCTGAATACTGGTTTGGCTCACTCACTGGTCCCTCAGATAAAAGATCCTCTCCTAGGTTTTGTTTTCCTGGAAATCACTGGAACTGTTTCACTTGTCAAAGAAAAGTTCAGTCTCGTGTGAGAGAAAGTTGTCCGGAAGATGATACTTGCTAGGTTTGCAGTTCCGAGGACAGGGATCCTGGGAGCAAGCTGGGAGATATATATAGCTCAGCACTTTATATGGTAATAATGCAAGAGCTTGTGCCTCTCCCAGGCCCTCATCCCACCCACCTGTCTGCCCCTGACATGCATTTAATGTATTGCATGCATGGAACCGTGTGAGTTTACTGTCTCTGCAGTTCAGGTCCAGATCTCTATGGCTGCTGCTGTACAATTCTCTCTGAGTAAATCTCAGGTCTGAATTACAGGATTAGGTGAAACCACGGTATTTCCAAAGCGATGACTGTCCTTTCCCTTTAACTCAGCTTTAAAAATTAACCTCAAAGCCATAATAAAAAGAGGAGTTGCCACAGATGAAGCAAGCCAAGTATTTCAGGGGGAGGAAGGATACTTTCAGAAGGAGAAGTGTTACAAAAACCAACTTTGCATGAAAGACAACATGCTTTTATCTTATTTTACTTCTAAAATGAACAAAGGATAAAAAAGGTTTAACTTCAGTATGGCAATTAAGTTGTATAGCTTTGAAAGAGAACTGAAGAACTTAACAAACATAAGCGTGCATAGGAACGGGAGAGTGGGGTTCTGCGTATAATGTGGATCAGATGTCTGTCGTCTTCTGTGCATGGCTGCATAGATGAGAGGCAGCTTCCTAGCAGGACGTTTATTTAACTTGTTCAAAGGAACCGCATATAGATCCAGGGGAGATATTCCTTATAAGGAAAAGTATGCAGACTGGAAATAGCTCGCCTAGGATGAAGGCAGGAGAAATGGTACTAGATTCCCTTTTTGAAATGAAAGATCTTCCTAACCAATCCCAATGCCATTTTCCTTTGCTGGAAAACAGCATTTCGAAGCTAGTTGAGGGCAATTTTATTTGCAGTCATCCCTCAGGCAGAGGGCAGGCAAGTGTCTGGCTTGTTTTCATCAAGGTAAATGCTGTATTTAATGGTATGCATGGAATATGTCTGACATTTTAAGGATGTCTTTCTTTTTTGGCAATGCGGAGTATCTTTGGGGCATTGCAGTTGACCCAGTATTTGCCCTACTAGTTTGGATAGTTCCAAGCCTTAGCAGAAAGACAAGGGCAGGGGAGGGAGTGCCGGCTCCCTGGGGTGGACTCGCCTTACACAGGGGGATGAGGAAACCTTACCTTGCTGGTATTACTCACCTCGCAAAAGCCAGGCGCATCCCCTGAGCCCCGGCGCCACCTCACCTGGGGGGGGGCAGCCGCACCTCCCTCTTCCCTCCCCGTGTCTCAGGAGCTAGGCCAGGTGCAGCAGCAGCTGGCGGGGGCAGGTTGCTCGGTGTCATTTCATTACGCTCATACTGGGGCGGTTTAGGGGGGGAAGGCGGGTTCTGGCCACAGCCCTTGCCCCGACCCCGGCGCGGCCTGCGGGAGTCCGCGCGC